CAATTTCCAAATTTAAAGATTTTTGCTTGTAAATTTTTCTCCATTTTTGGGATGACATATCTGTGTGAACAAACTTTTTCCCAGATGAAGTACATCAAGTCGAAATACAGGGCAAAATTTATCCGATGAACATTTAAAGTCACTACTTGTGATCAGCTTTTCAAAATTTGAACATCAAATTAATCAGATTTTAAGAATGCAAAAAGAGTTCCATCATTCACATTAATTGTTTTATTATAATTTGTGATGAAAATATGAGCATTTGCTGCTACTGTCTGTTGTCATTAATTTACAATAGTTTATTCTCACGTACTTTGTAATTAGTTTATGAAATTCTGTGTTTTCAATAAAACTCATATACCTAGAGTTATTAATTTTTCATTTTATCCGGCCCATTGACAGTGTTGAATTACCTAATGTGGCCCGCGTTTCAAAAAGTTTGGAGACCCCTGGTCTTGACAAAATGTGGGAGCCTCGGCATCTTGCAACCCTATGGGACTTCATGGCCTGTTACAGGGATAGCTTTACCTACTTTTTTATATGACATTATTTACCACCTACTCTATTCAAGACTCTCAAAACACAGAAATATTAATGGAAATCATTTTATGGCTTAAAATAAGTCAATATGTGGGAGATGTTCACTACTACCTTTCTATGAGCAATAATAATGAAGAGAGTTAAAGCTGTCCCTATCCTTAATCAATTAGGCACTATGCCACAAACATACATGGAGTGGAGGTATAGCTCCACCTATCTTGACCTTGGCACTAGATGGAGGTGAGTGTTCAGCTTCACGTCTATGAGCAACAATACACCTATAAAGTGTAAAATACCAAAAGAATCCTATAATACACACTTAACATAATAACATAACAGAAGCCAAGATAGCTCAGTCAGTATAGCTAGTGTTGGGCTACGGGTTGGATGGCAGGGGTTTGATTTCTGAAAGATAGTTTTCTCAATTCCACAACAACCAGACTGCCTCTAAGGCCCACCCAGCCTCCTATCCAATGGGTACTGAGGAATTTTCTCTGGGGATAAAGCAGCCAGGGCATGAGGCTGAACCACTCATCTCCACCTAGTGAGGTCAAGAATGGTGGAGCTATACACCCACTCCCCCATACATCATGATGGATGGTGCTTAATTAATTAAGCACAGGAACAATTTCACCTTTAACTTTCTGCATAACATAATAATTGTATGCAGAATGCTGAAGACTTCCCACAGGAACAATTTCACCTTTATTTTTCAGCATAACATAATAATTATGAGGGGGGACCCAAAAATAACCGGAATTTATTTTTGTTATTTTTTATTTTTGCATTTTTATTGAACTGTATATTAGTCCCCTTCAAAGTATTGTCCATGTGCATTAATGCACTTGTCCCAACGCTTTTGCCACTGCTCAAAACAGTGCTGGAATTCTTGAGGCTGGATACTTTCAAAGCCTTTAGCGTGCATTCTTTGACTTCATCCACATCACGGAATTGCTTTCCTTTCAGACTTCTCTTCATCCGTGGAAACAAAAAAAAATCCGACGGAGCCAGGTCGGGTGAGTAAGGTGGATGAGGCACAATCACCATGTTGTTGCTTGTCAAAAACTGTCGGACCGTCAAAGCTGTGTGGGCTGGAGCACTGTCGTGGTGAAGCAACCAGTTCCCATTTCTCCATATTTCGGACCGTTTTCGTCGCACACTCTCTCGTAATCTTCGTAACACATCCAGGTAAAAATGTTGGTTCACTGTTTGTCCTGGCGGAACGAACTCTTTGTGGACAATGCCATTCACATCAAAAAAACAAATCAACATTGTTTTCACATTGGATCGCACTTGACGCGCTTTCTTCGGTCGTGGTGAAGTTGGAGTTTTCCACTGGCTTGATGATTGCTTTGATTCTGGATCGTACCCGTAGCACCAAGACTCATCGCCAGTCACAATTCTTTTAAGAAATTCTGGATCGTTCTGCACTTCACTCTTCAAGTCGCGGCAAACATTCACGCGGTTTTCTCTTTGGTCATCTCCGAGCAAGCGAGGAACAAATTTTGCAGACACCCGTCTCATGTGCAAACCTTCGGTTAAAATTCGCTGGACCGTGCTCCATGAGATGTTCGTTTCCTCAGAAAGTTGGTCAATGGTCTTTCGACGATCTTCATCAATTGCACGTTTGATTTTGGCAATGTTTTCGTCATTTCTTCCTGTCGAAGGACGCCCGGGGCGTGGCATGTCTTCTGTTGACATGTTGCCAGATTTGAAATGGGAAAACCACTCGTAGACCTGTGATTTCCCCAAAGCATCATCATTAAAGGCTTGCCGAAGCATCCCAACAGTCTCGGCTGCAGTTTTCCCTAACAGAAAGCAAAATTTCACGCACACTCTGTTCCTTCTGGTCGGCCATCTCACTAATCGCCAAAGGGTTGAAACAGGAAAGCACACAACAGAACACCACAGACAAACCACTTAACTCAGACTGACACCAGCTAACTAACAGTCGTGGGAGACCCCCAGCTAACACCACCTAGCAGCACAACTCGTAACTACAAAGCATGCGCGCGCAACAGGTCGGTTCCGGTTATTTTTGGGTCCCCCCTCGTATATGCAGAATGCTGATGACTTCCATTATGACAAATAATAATAGAAAACTATTCTTATAAAAAGAACAGAAAAACTTTTATAACTATTATGAGACTCGTGCTCAAGTGTACCTTCCAACTACTTCCCTAGTGCGTTGCAGGAGGTATTGTCTATTATTGTGCAGATCCAGGAAACGTTGAATGCTAAATGGAATCAACTCTGTTGTTGGTACCCCTTCAATAATCCACTCTGCCATAGCTTTACCAATTCCACCAGCTCCTTGTAGGGAATTACCATTCATCCCTACAGACACAAAGTAATTGGTCACCTACAAGTAAACCAAACACATGTTCAATATTAACATGGGCTTCTATTATGGTCAACGCTGAAAATCAAAAAGTAACTTCACAGCCTAATATGCAAAGAATCTGCCAAGAAGTACCTCTGGTGTCTCTCCTAGGATCCAGCGTCCATCAGGAGTAAAATTGTCTGGCGAATTTGTGAGCACTGGATTATGGACATCTTTAAGTATGGGCAAACGGTGTATAGCCTTTTCCCAAAGTGGCACTATAAAAGATTCAAGCAATATGACCTATGAACAAATAGATCTATAGATAGAAAAGAAATTAACGAATTTCAACCAACTATAAAGTTCACCATTGAAAAAGAACAACAAGAACCTATTAATTTTCTAGATATAACAATACATCGTAATGAAGATAGCTTGCAATTTGCAATATATAGGAAACCCACACAGACGGACATCATAATACCTAACAGTTCGTGCCATCCATTTGAGCACAAATTGTCAGGTATTAACTATCTAATAAACAGACTCTACATGTACCCAATAACGGAAAAAGAGAAACAGACAGAAAAGAACACTGTTAAAAACATACTACATAACAATGGATACAACAGAAAGATAATCAACAGACAAAATGAAAACAAAAATCAAACATACACGATGATGAACAACAGCAAAAAACAAAGTGGGCCATATTTACATATAGTATAAAAGATGTGTGAAAAGTCATGAAACTTTTCAAAGACACACACATAAAAGTAGCATTTCGCACACAGAACACAATTGAAAATATACTTAAACATAAACAACAATTAGATAAATAAATGACTAAATAAATAAATGAAATGTGTAGATTGACCATAAAAATACATTGGACAGACGGGCCAAACATTTAACACCAGATATAAGGAGCATATACACGATATTCAATTCAATTCAATTCTTTATTATTAATGTGCCGAGTCAACAGCGGCAAGGCCAATTACAGACACAGCACAGTGCAGATGAATGAATTACATTATAGACAAACTTATTAAAAGTCAAATACAAATTACAGGTAAGTACTTGGAAGAAATAATTATGAATAAAAGTAAAAGTAAACAAACAAATAGCTGATAATTATGACAGTAATAATAATTTCATTATCATTAAATTAAGTGTTATTACGAATTGAGGAATGAAACATAAATATTTAATTAAGAAATGAATAGTATAGATTTTCAGAGGATAATAATAATATACATAATTCATTTTGTTTTACTGGACATGCAAATAATAAAAATACTAACAGTTATACAATATTTAAAATTTGTTTGGGTAGAACATTCCTGGCTCCAAATACGTAAACATCCCTGCAGACAGCATTAGCAGCTGCTGCGCATCTAGCAGAGGGACAATTTTTAAATAAGGAGCAAACATTGAACAATGCAAAATCTCTGATATACCGAGCAGGAACTCGGAGACCAACAATTTCCAGGACAGAAGGGCAGAATTTAGAGCCAAAATAAACTTGAATAAGAAAGAGAGCATCAAGGCGATGTCTCCTAGTACATAAAGTATGTAATTTTAACTCCTCAAGAGCAAGAGAATAATTGTAGTGAACT